TTAGCTTTTTTTTTGGCTTAATTTAATTTTTAGTCTATTAACTATCACCTTGATTTCATTTTAGTTTAGAAACTATGTTTTGTTTCTAAATGGTCTATTAACTTTGAGATTCATTTCAATCATTAAAAAAAACGACAATGTATTAAGTTTGGGTCTATTAACTTTGAGAATTAAGCCCCTTTTTTTTTAATGATTGTGGCACTTCCTCGTTAAATGCAACACCGTTTCTGGGTCAATAGATTTAATTTAGTAATTAGTCTATTAATTATTAGTTTAATTTTATTTTAATCTAAATTTTTTTTAAATGATCTATAACCTTGAAAAATATTTCATAATAATTTATCTTACAAAATTTTCATTAGTTTTAACAAAAGAATTAACTTAAAGTTAAAATAGAGTAGTCCTTTAAGTTTTGAAAAAGTGATATTAAAATCCCAATAAAATATAATGAATCAAGAAATAGTTTATAAAGATAGATTAATTAGAATATGTAATGAAGTTGAGTAGCTAGTTCCATTCGAAAAGAGAAACTTAGTAAGCTTAAAATAAGAAGCTTTATGAATAAATCTTGAAAATATAGTAAGAGTTAGAACTCTTAACTACTAAATAAGAACAAAAAAGAAAATAATAAATACACTAAGAAATACTATTAATACACTTTTATTAGCATGAATAATGAACAAATAAACTAGATTAACATGTATTTACTCAATACATTTGACAAAAGTATAATATATATATAGAAGATGCAATTATCATTGATAAGATTATAAAAATAGAAACAATTAATTTAAATACTTTAAGAAGAATTAAAGAAATGAGAAAATCCATTTCTCAAAAGTTTGATTCTATTAAAGAAAGAATAAATGATGTCAAAATTTCTAGAGATTTGAAAGAATAAAAGAAAAAAATAAGCTCTATCAAAGACTTAAAGATTTTGATATCTCAAGTTAGAGAGATAAAAATCAAAATAGAAGCAAATTTTAAGATATTAAAAGTAATTGCAACAAAATTTGCTATAAAAACTTAAGATGTACAATAGAACATTCCCACAAATTGAAAGTGATATAGATAAGAATTTCTACAATATCCAAACTCAATTTAAGGACCTATAAGATACTATAATACAATCTACAGTAGATGAAATATTTTAGATAAAAACAAAGGATTTAAAATAATCCCAAAGATTTTTACAGAAAAACCTAAATAAAAGGGAATAACACTTCTTATGTTAAAAACTCAAGAATAAAAATTGAAAGAATTGGAACAAAGATTCTTAGAAGAAGAAAATGTAGAAGAGTTAGATAATCTGTGCAAACAGATTACAATAACTACTAGACAACCAGAAAATATGAAAATGAATACTCAAAGAGAAGGAAAGGAAATTAAAGAAGAAAAGGATGAAAGATCTCCTAATATAACTCCAACAAAATTCCCAGTACAGAAGGAGTAGAATCTAACATTAGTCAAAGTTATAGAAGAAATAAAAATAAAATACATGAAATATTATATGATAGAAAGAAATTTGGAAATCAATCTAGACTTGAAGCCCTAGTTAAAGTCAAAGAACAAATTATCATTACCAATGGCATTTGGCTAGATCTAGATTATGATACCGATCTAGAAAAAGTCATTAGTGACTAGACTCAAGCCACTTGGATAGCCATAGCTAATAGAAACTGGAATACTTTACAAGTAGTTAGATTTATTGAAGTTATCTTTAGAGGAATAGTTTATGATTGGTTTGCAGGTCTAAATCAAGAAGAAAGCAATACTATCATAAGTGGAAATCTTCAAAGGAAGAAGTAAATGAAAATGAATCAATTCAAGACATAATAACTAGGTTTGAATCATCTATAAGAAAAGAATTTTTAGGAGAAAATTGGGAAGAAAATCAGGAGAAGGAAGAAGCTAGAGTTGGTAGAATAGTAATATGAAATCTATAAAACCTAGAATTATGTAATCTCTGCAAATTAGATCAACATATTTGTTTATTCCAAAAGTATTATTATAAAGCCTCAAACTGTGGAATAGCTAAAGGTTTAAGAGAAATTATTTTTTGGAAAAATCCCTAATCCTTAAGGAATAAAGCTAGCAGAAACCTATAGAATTGTGTAGAAGATAAAATAGATACAATAGGTCTAAGAATTTGGTTCACTAAAACCAAAATAAATGAGTGGTATTTAGAAAACTATAGCGATAGCAAATTAAGAAAAAGTATGAAAAAGGGTTTATGTTGTCCTAAAAATAGTGATCCAATCAAGTTAAAATATAGTTATTCAAACTACAAGAAAAAGAAACAAAAGATTTAAAATTAATAAAAGTAATAAATAGAGGTTTAATAAAAATAAATTTTTTGGAAAGAAAAGGACATATTTTAAGAAAACAAAAACACCAAGAAAAAATAAAAAGAATCCTAAGAAATGCACATGCTAATTACGTGAAGAAGAAGAACACTATGCAAATAAATATTCGAAAAGATACAAAAGAGAAAAGTACTAAAAATTTAAAGATTTATGAAGAAGAATTAAGCAAAATAGAGACTAACTCTATAAATAGTGATGAAAGTATATATGAGGTGGAAAGTTTAGATACTTCTAGCAGTGATGAATCTGAATGTTGAGAAAGGAGAAACTTATTCTGGAGAATGTGAAGGATACGGAGAATACAGCCAAGTAATTGTATTCGATAAGAGTAAATATAAAAGAATTAGACAAAAGGGAATGGACCTTGCATTAGAAAAGGGATTCAAGTCAAATTCTTTTTTAAGTAATCCTTGTAAGAGGGAAGATATAGCTTATTACGAAATATCCACTAAAGAATATAGCATTCCTATCAAGAATACAACAGGAATGATAAATATACCTTTGCTCACCAAGGCAAAAATAGAAAGTAAATTATCAAAAATCAAAGAATTTAATAGATCAAAAATAGGATTTGTCCATATAGGAGGAATTCAAATCCTTATTAAAGCTCATTTAGAGAAGGTATGATAATCCAATAAAGCTAGCTTTAATAGATAATAAAATTAACGATATAAAGGATGCTATCGTAGGATTAGTACAAGGTAACCTTAGCTACCAAAAACTCATGTTCACAATATATCCAAAGTATGTTGTAAATATTAATGATAAAAACAAAGCCAAGCACATGAATTTGTTAAAGAAAATTTTATGAAAGATGGATCAATACCATATAGTATTTACTATACGATAAGTTATGCATTGACTAAGAGTCATTAGTCTACTCTTTTTAAAGACAAAGAATACATTGAATTAGATCTTTATGTTCTCTAAAATAGGACAAATTCAAAAACCAGAAATGATTACTGAAATAAAACTATCCAAAGAATGAGAAATGGACATTAGTGGAAAACCACTCTTAATAGGAGAAAGAGAAAAACATAGGTTTAATGGCATATGGGTCAGGAAGACTATTAGTCAAAACAAAACTTGAACCAAGCCGTAGAAATAGTATAGACTTAGGAGCTTTAAACTACCCTAAGAAAAATAAAGAAGTCATACCCAGGACAACCAATGTAAAACATGAAGTGGTGTTAGATACCATAAAGATCCCTTCTAGATATTTCAAAATAAAAGGAGATTATTATGATGGGAAAAAATGGCATAACATTTCTATCCTAATAGATACAAGAGTGGGAGTAACACATATCAATAGCGATATGATCCCACTCCTATAAAGATTCGAACTCACTAAGCCATACACATATTACAACTTTAATGGTGCAGTGGCCACAATACATGAATATGCTAAAATACCTCTTAAAATAGAGGATAATAACAAGATACAACATGAAACCACTATAACAGCTCATGCTGAAATAGAAATGACTGCAAGTATAGAATTTATGCTAGGAAATATGTTCTTAACATCAGTACTGCCGTATAATTTCCAAGAACATTGTCTAAAGATTATCTTAAGTGGAAAAGAACTGGTTATACCTATATACTATGGAAACTAGTATCTATAGTGTATACATATCCATTAGAATCAAGTATGAAGAATACAAAATAGAATTCGTTCATGCTTTTATAGATACAAGATTTAGGATATGTTTAGCAAAAACCAATGTATTCCCAAAGTATTATTGGAAGAAAACCTCTTAAACAATGAAAGGTGTAGCCATAGATGGAAGTATTATATAATACCAACAATAATAGAAAG